ATTGAAGGGAAAGACAATTCTACCAAATTTAATCAAATAATAAATTATGACTAGTTCACACTTTGGTCCCTAAACAATATAGACTAAGAAATTAGGTCCTTAGATATTCGACTTCTCACCATACAGTCCAAATTTCGAATATTAATGACTATAACGAATTTTCGGGGCGTTACAGATACGACGCTGGTCTCAGATTAAGACTCAATCCCACCAAGAACACAAACTATTCAACAAGAAAGTAAAGAATACAAGAAAATTTTCGGTCGAAGCCTCGGAGGTTCAGTGACCAATTCTAACACTTAATCTCCCATTGAACATCCGTCAGAATTACACTCAAATCCACTAGCACAGCCTCAAAACACAAATGCAAAATATTCGATCATAGAGGAATATAATAAATCTCCTTCTCTTTAAAACCAACAATAAACAATAGATCACTCACAAAGAGGGGTGCCATGAAGTTAATATCGACCTTCTCTATTTCCCTAAAAAATTATAGAGATCATCCAAAGGATGAATAGTATATCAGAGAGACGAAGGAGATAAGAGAAAGCTGCTAGGGTTTATTCTTCTTACTCTAATGAGAGAACAATATTATTTATATAAGATACAACCAAAACCTTCATCCAATGGCCTCAATCAATCCACGTGTCGCAATCCAACATAAGTAAAAATTAATTGATAAGACGTGACATACACGACTTCAACTAATTTCAAAAACTTCACATTGGATTAGATTGTTGGGCCGAGTCAACAAAGCAGATGGGCAGGAGTTTGGCCCTCATTAATTATGTATTGGATCACAAATTTCAACAACCCAGAAATCTTCACACTTTTGGAGATGGTTCAAGTTTAAAGACATTCTCTATACATAATATCAACCGCGCTATACGTACAAAGAAGGTTGACAAAATCGAGTTACAAAGTGACGTGGCAGTATTAAAATAATAATAATAAAAATTAAAATCCCAATTTCGCGTTAACGTCCACCCATCTCCTTCCTCCCAAAGCGTTAACTCTGGCAGCCTACTAACATCCGGCAGCCGTTCAGATCCGACAGTCTCCGCACCTCCGGCGTCATCCCCATTAGAAAAATCTCGCTTCCGTCGAGTAATATTACCGTTAAAGTGTTGGACAAAACCTGGACCTGCAACACTCAATATACAATGAGATCTGTAACTTGAAGAAAGAAGATTCGAACCAGAGATCAGTGAAAACTCACTAGCCTGGTTGTGTTTGGCCAAATTGCATATATAAGCAAACAAGCAAAGACAAATAACAAAGGAGACGTGTGTAATTAATTCAACTTCCAATGAGAGCATGAATCGCCAATGGTCCAGTTCAGATTAAAAATAAAACTAAAAACCTTGATTGCAAGAGGCGAAGTTCAATACAAGTTGCATAATTCCAAGGCAACTAAACAAGTAGTACTAAGTAACATTTGCAGTTGTTAATAATTGAGATACAAAACATTGACAGCATTCAGAAAGAAGATACTATATCAATGCTGAAATTTTTGCTCGGTTCCTCCACGCCGATGAGTTCGCCTTAGCTTTTTCGCTACCTTCAATGCTGGAATTTTTGTTGGGTTCCTCTACGCCAGAGTGCTACGATGAAGATTCATGGATGCTTTCGCCTCAAATTTGGATACTGGTACACACAATGGTAATGAAAGTGGGTTTCTCGCTACCATAAAATTTGTTAAATCAGGTAAATCCCAAATAATTTATGCTGGGTTATCTACAAGACATGCTGGAGATGAGAATGTTAACGCAAGAGATTCACATTTTTTGGGCTTCGCCTTCGCCGTGTCGGAATAAGAGGAAACCGGGCTCTGTACCTTTTCTTTTTCATTTTGGTGCCTCCTATTTCTTTTATTTGTTTTACTATCACAACCATTCATTACCATTTGATCTCCACCTTACACGTCACTTTGTCACCCAACTTTGTCAATGAATTTTGTACAAACAACATTATTGTACGTAATATACTCTTTATAAATAGAGAGTTTTTGGAGATGCTTTAAGAATAAGAATAATAGTAGATCCTATAAAAAGTATGTGCTCCCTCCATCCCACAAAGATAATCTTGCTTTTATTTTCACACAGATTAATTAATATACTTGGATCTATTAATTTTTCTTTATTATGCCACACAGAATAATGATTTAAGGGGGTGTTTGACACCCATTTTTGTAGAAAAATTAGTTTTTGAATAGTGATTGATGGAAGAATGTGTGGTTAAAAAGTAATGAGAATTTTTAGGTTTATATGTAATGTTATTGATAGAATGTGTAGTTAAAATGAAGAAAAAGAAAAAGAATGCGAATGAGAATGAGAAAAAATGGGTGCCAAACGGGGGCATTAAATAAGAATAACTCACTTTTGTAGATGACAAGACACATTAAGAACCTATTTAAGCCCTAATTTTCTATTAAAATGCATTTTGGAATGATATTTTGATGGAGAATATGTAGTTAGAAATAAAGAAAATTTTTGGGTTTGTGTATAGTATTATTTTATTGAAAATTTGTGTTTCAAATAAGAGAGAAAAAATGTATTTTGAGAATAATGAGGACCAAACAAATGCTAAATATGAACATATTAGAAAGTTAAGAAATCAACTACTCTCAACAAAAAAGTATCCTATAATTTAAGATAAATGAAAAAGAAAAGTAAAAGAGAATATAATATTGAGTAGTTAATGATTGTCATTAATGATTGTAAAATTTCAACAAGGAAGTATCCTATAATTTATGAATGTCTGATTGTAATTAATAATTGACTTTGAGTGAATATAAAAATCGTTATATCCAAAGAGAGGCAAAAAATCAATACTATCATCATATATGTAAACTGTTCAACACAGGTATAATAAATTGGTATCTTTAAACATAATTCAAAATTTTTATAATGATTAAATATATAGATTTTACTTTTTACTTGTTATCAAAATTACAGTCAATTTTACTGTAATATATGAAAACATATTTCAGTGAAGTTTGGAAAGAAAATAGTATTTCAGTTTTTTCTTTTAACATAATAAAACAAGATAATGGCTTTATGTCATTTTTGGGCTCCATTTTATCAAGAAAATGCATTTTGAAATTGTAAAACGTTGGATAATGTGCGGTGAAAAATGAATATTAAAAATGGAAAATTTCAGAAACAAGAGCACAGGTATCACCTATTTCAAAATTAAGAAAATAAGTTTCGAATTTCAAAAATCAGATTTTTTTTTAAATTTTATTTATAAATTAATTTATTAAATATATATTTTACTAATTAAATATATTAAGGTCACAATTATATGCAATTTGGTCACAATTCTATAATTAATTAGTCACAAATTAATTTTCGGCATAATTTATCAAAATTATTGATCACGACTTACTCCTCTGTCACGAATCAAAATTTTATAGGTCACAAATTATTCATCGATCACGAATAAGAATTTTATTGGTCACAATTCAAAAAATTTATATGTCACAATTTGTTCATCGGTCACAAATAAAAAATTTATACGTTACAATTTTTTTATTGGTCACAAATCACAATATTACAAGTCACGACTTATTAGACTGTCACAAATTATTAAATTATCGGTCACAAATCACAAATATTACAAGTCACGACTTATTAGACAGTCACAAATATGTCACGACTTATTATCGGTCACAAATTAACAATTTTTTAGATCACACATTATTTTTTGGTCACAATTTATCTTTTTATTAGTCACAACTCATTTCCTAATCACAAATTAAGAATTTTATAGATCACAGTTATTTTTCGATCACGAATCAAAAATTTTATCCGTCACATATTATTTATCAATTACAAAATCAAAACTTTTATTGGTCTCAACTCGATTACAACTTAATAAATTGTGAGCCACAATCACAATTTTTAGGTCACATATTATTTATTTGACAAAAAATAACCAATTGTTGGTCACAAACAGCACCACCACCACCACTGCCACTTGCGCACCCTCATCCCACCACCACCACAACACTACCAACAAAAATGCACCACTGTGACCGCCACCACCACTAACAAAAACGAACCACCACCGCCTAGCCATCGTCACTGTCCATCGCCACCAACAACAAAAATGCACCACCACCGTCACTGCCCATCGCCACTAAAAACAACCTATCATTGCACCACCACCACTAAACAATCATCACAACAAGCACCACTAAAGCACAAACCACATCACCCATTTCACAGCATCGATCTCCCGCATCACCACACAAATCGCACAAATCAGAACACATACCACAGATCGACCACCTCCACCATCTGTCGGCGCTCAGATCGATGTTTTGACGACTTCGCAGTGTCGCCGCACCGAAGCTCGTCATAGCCAAGAGAGTGGCGCTCGTTGCGGTAGTGGGCGAAGACGACGGGTGTAAAGAGAGAGAAATATGAGAACCGAGAGTAGTGGTGGTGATGGTTGGGCGTGGACGACGGGCGACGACGGGTGAGAAATGTAGAGAGAAAGGGGAAGGAATATAGAGAGAGAGGGTGGAAGGCGACTGGTTGTGGGTTAGGGTTTGTGATGTGTGTATTGGAGTATATATATTTATTAAATATAATTATTTTATAAAAATACTAATTAAAATAAAACTTCTGATTTTGAAAATGTTAAACATGCCATCTGAATTATGAAATGAGATCTTGAAATCTATTAGAATCTATAATTTCCACTATTAAAAATATGAATTTTGATAATAAAATGGGCTCAAACAAAGGCTAAATCCCGATCATTTCTGTATATCCAAACTAAAATTAAAGTTAGCTCTTGTTTGGTCACCTTTAATTTGAAAAAAAACTATAATTTAAATAGGATTTATTTAAGAATGTACAGTTAAAAAGTAGAGAAAATTTCTGAGTTTACGCGTAAAATATTTTATCGTATGATTAAAAGTGAATAAGATAAATAAATTAAAGTAAAAGCGATCAAATAGGGGAAAGTTATTTATGCTAAGCCAAACGTGCTCTGCCCTTTGATTAGTGGGTCTGGGACTCCATTCAATTGACGCTTGCTGCTAGTAAAGTGAAAATCATAAAGCTTTAAGGGAGAAAAGAAAATAGCTGGGTATGCTGATTCAATTTCCTTTCTCAGATCGTTATCAAGAAGCATAACATTTATATGCATTAACTACTTTTGCTTTTCATTTTAAAAACCCAATCTTTTTTTTTGCCAGTTTTGATACTTATAGGATTCTAGCAATTGGGGTTAGAGTAATTTTCTGCACATTAATTTCAATTTAACTTTTTATTATCGCCTTAATTTATTTATTTATTTATTTTCCCTGTTCTGTTTTTGTTTCAGTGAATTATTGTTAACAATCTGCCTTGAAAAGTATGTTTTTTAGATGGGCATTTGAATTTGGACGTTTAATTAATCTTTCACGTGATCAGAGATGAGCTACTCTGGAAATGAGGATACTTATACGATAAAAAATATGCATAAGAAATGTGATTCCCTTTATGTGGGTCTGTCTTGAATTTGGTTGATTTTGAATTCGACTTGGGATGAGATACTCTGGTGTATAATTTCAAATTTTGAACTTTGTTTTATAATGTGAGTAAACTCGTAGCACACACCAAGTTTGTTTTTATTACCCTCATTTATATGTACGAGACTTGGGGTTCTATCTTAAAAGTCAACCTTGTTTATTGTATATTTCTTTTTTCGATATGGGATTTTCCCTTTAACATTTATCAGTCTAGATGTTATTCCAATCCTAGTAATTTTCGTGGGTTCTTGGTAGTACTTGTTTGGTAAGTAGTATGTAGTGTGTAAAATCAAGATTTTAGCTTATAAAATTGCACTCTGTTGAAGTCCTTCATTTAGTCTGGGTCTGGGCTGTATAAAAGAAACACTCAACGGGTCATCCCTTGGAAGAAAAGCAATGCAACTATACTAATTCTCCCTTAAAATGTGCCTTTCTGTTAACTTATTGACTAAATTGGTTTTGCTACTGATTTTTCCGTTGTCATCTTTAGTTGCAAATCTGGTTTACATTTATTATCATGTCTCCAAAATTATTCAACTCTCTGTGAGAAGTAGCATTACATAGCAACTTCCCTTTGTGCTTGCAGACTTTCTAGCAATATATCAACATCATTGATGAGTACGGTTGGTGATAAGTCTGATGATGAATACTCCGTCATTGGAGATAAAGGAGATATTGGATTCGTGGATTTCGGAAATTGTAAATCTGTTTGTAACTACAATCCTGCAGAAGAGAGTGATGTAGTCAATATCTCCGTTCCACTTCCTTTAGTTGGAGGAAAGCCTCAATCAGGATTTGTTGGAGAAACCACTTGTGATTCCATAACCATAATGAATACTACTAACGAACCATTAGATCTCTGGTCTGTCAGTATTTATGATTCAAAACCTCCGGAGTCCTTCACAATTTCTTTGATGAAGCCTCCAACTGCAGATTCTGATGTGGAATATATCAAAGAATTTTTAGAATCATTTTCCCTGGAAGACAGAGTGCTAAGACCAGGTCAAACTTTGACTATTTGGTTGTCATGCAAAACTAAGGAAATTGGCTTGCACACTGCAGCTGTTCACTTTAGTGTGGGGGACGAGACAATAGAAAGGCTTGTTTTTGTGTTGGCAGAAGATAAGATCTCCCAATCTTTATCTTCTACTAAACCCTTTTATAGAGCTCGTAAAAAGAAACCGGCTGTGGTGGATGTATTTTCTGCAGATGGTGCATTTGTTACAGGCTCACGCCCTTATAAGCCTTCAAATCGTGGGCGTAAGCACCAGCTACCTGAATTTCGTGTGCCTGTACATATCAGGGACATGGTGAATAACAAGCAGATTCCAGATCCAGTTAATGAGGGTCTAACCGAAGAAAACTATGGTCCATTCTTCCAAACATTACTTAACATGGAAGAGATCAAAATGGAGGTTGTTTTTATTTATTTTTTCCTAAATTCTTATTCTGGAATGCTATAGGTCTCCTTTTCCTTGTAGTATCTCTCATTCTAATGAAAAAGGTAACTAATTTTAGTTATTGTTAAGTCAGGAAGACATGCGGGCATATGATATGGAGTGTGTTACTATGAAGAGCAAGAAACACCAATTATTATCCCTCGAGGTCCCAGGATTAGCTGAAAGAAGGCCTTCACTTGTAAATGGGGATTTTATATTTGTGAAGCTTGCTTCTGAGGATACAACTGAGCATGATCCTTATCAGGTTTGTCCTCAACTGTACAACATACTTTAGTTAACTGAATAATGTACAGCGAGTTGGTGAATCATATGGATTGATTCTCCATTATAAAATACATTATTAATGATACATATCACATGTAGGACAATTCTTTAGGGTCAAGACTGGGAACAAGTTTCAGTTTTCTTTAATGAATCCGAGACCATGAAAACCCTGATCCATTAAGTTATTAAAATATTTTTTTTCTTGTAAAAGTCGTGAAAAAACACAGTTCAAGTGCCGGAGGCTTATACTCATTGCATACTTGGATCAGACCATATTAGTGATCCTTATTTAAGAGTTCTACCAAATGAATTAAGTTCAATTCGGGTCATTGATCAACGAAAATTATAAATACAATATCAAGCAAAAAATTCCTGATTAAGTCATATATACTTAATAGTTGTATGAACAGTTGCACTCTCTGTAACCATATGATTGTCTGCATAGCATCCTTATGAAAGAACCACATTCCTTTTATCTTTAGTCTCTTTTGTTGCTTTTTCTACTATAGTCATTTGATCAAGAATCAACTTACTTCTATACAGACGTGTAGAGGAGCCTTTTATCACAAATTTCAAAATCTTGCACACTCTCTATCACACCAAGTCATCATGCTCTAATTAGTTATCTGAGTACAAACTACTCATTAGTTTTTCTATAACTATTCAATACCTTTGCATAAACTAAAGATTCATTCTCTTTTCTAATTATTTTCGTGCCTCTTTAAGGCTGGAATGCCCATTAATCCTTTTGAATCGAACCACCTTTCTATGTCCTCATTTTACCCTTTATTATTATTTCCATTCAATCAATTTGAGCATTAGCTTGATTCCTAGAAGGATCACTCAATGATTTTTTACATATTACTCGTTATTGATGTACATCTTAAATGAGTGTGAGGGTTAGTTTGTCTGGAAAGATCTTGACATATATGATATTGCTTATTTCAAGTGTTTGATATTCGTGTTTGATCTCTGGCTGTAAATAGCTATTTTCTCTAAATGAGGACACTTAATGCATGTTGGGTACGCAGTATTAGAATGAAATAGACAATATAATAACAAGATTTTAGCTTTTTTATTCCTTAATATTATATAGCAATGTCAAATCCTCCCTACTAGGCATGCGCTCATTATTTATCTTTGCTTGTGAGTGAAAATATGTTTCATGAGTGAGCCAAAAGCTTTGGACTCATGAACACCTTTTCTACAATAATTTATTATGTTCCTCAAAATACACATGGGCTTATTTTCTCTCACACTGTTATCTGCGACTATTTTCAAGGAAACTAATTCAGGTTGTTTTTTGCACAGGGCTTCATTCACCGGGTTGAGGCCGAAGAAATACATTTGAAATTTCACAAAAATTTTCACTCGAATCACAGGGAAAGTAACGTTTATAATGTACAATTCAACTATAACCGACTGAGTATGAAAAGGTTGTATCAGGCCATTGAAGTTGCTCAACATTTGGAGAGAAACTTTCTATTCCCATCTGAGTCCTCTAAAAGAAGACTGGTTCTACCTAAATCATTGGTACCAACATCCGGTACCCTTAATGAGGAGCAGATGCGTGCGATCAAGATGATCCTTGCCTGCAAAGGAGGGTCTCCATATGTGATTCATGGACCCCCAGGTACAGGAAAAACATCGACGTTTATTGAAGCTATCCTGCAGATATACTCTAAAAGACGAAATGCTCGATTTCTAGTATGTGCACCTTCAAATAGTGCAGCTGACCACATCCTTGATCGACTCATCAGCAATCCATCAGCAAAGATTCAGAACACTGAAATCTTTAGGCTCAATGCAATCACACGTCCTTTTGAGGATGTGAACCCAGATTATATTGACTTTTGCTTTGTTGAAGATTCCATTTTTAAGTGTCCTCATATTAAGGACCTTTTGCGGTATAGGATCATTATATCAACATATTCAAGTGCCTCTCTTCTCTATACGGAAGGCATAAACAGAGGCCATTTCTCATATATTTTCTTGGACGAGGCAGGCCAAGCTTCAGAGCCAGATTCAATGGTTCCTCTGTCTCACCTTTGGTGGAAGGATACAGTTGTTGTTCTTGCTGGAGATCCTTTGCAGCTAGGTCCTGTAATTTTTTCTAAAGATGCTGAAACCTATGGATTGGGAACTTCATATTTGGAGAGGCTGTTTGATAACAAGTTATATGGCAGTGGAGACGAGAATTATATAACCAAATTGGTTAGAAATTATCGATCTCATCCTGCAATTCTGCATCTTCCTTCAGAATTGTTTTATGGCGGGGAATTGATCTCGTGCTACGAGGAGAGTACTGGTTTTTCCACATCCCGGGAAAATCTCCTCCCAAAGAAGGAGTTCCCTTTGCTTTTTGTCGGTATTCAAGGTTGTGACGAGAGGGAAGGGAGCAATCCATCATGGTTTAACAGAATTGAAGTTAGCAAGGTAGTTGAGATTATTGAGGACCTAATAGAGCATGATGGGCTGAAGGAAGAAGACGTTGGGGTTATAACACCTTACAGGCAGCAGGTGCTCAAAATAAGACGGGTGTTAGAAAATTTTGGTCGACTCAACATTAAAGTTGGCAGTGTCGAACAATTCCAAGGGCAAGAGAAGCAAGTCATTATTATATCTACTGTACGATCAACTGTAAAACACAATGAATTTGACAAATTACATTATTTGGGATTTTTGAGCAATTCTAGAAGGTTCAACGTAGCAATCACCCGAGCCAAATCTTTGCTTATTGTTACTGGGAATCCACACATCCTTTGCAAGGTAAAGTTGAATACATTATTGCTTGCTAGATCCTAGATAATTAACTACTTTGTAGTAATAACAGCCATTATTCTTCCTCATAACGTCATTTTCTTATTCAAAGCAATTGCATAATATAAGTTCATTAATACGCTAATTAGATTCGTGGTTTTCTGCAATTTTGTAGGATCCATACTGGAACAAGCTCCTGTGGTATTGTGTGGATAATGGCTCCTACGAGGGCTGCTTTCTCCCTGAAAGGCAGGAATTCAATGAAAGAGAGTTTGGAGAGGAACAGTATCCAGGCTATGAAGTGGAAAATCATTATCAGCCATCTGAAGCTCAGTGGGGTGGGGGTTATGAAGGAAACAATTATCAGCCATCTGATTTGCCATGGGTTGAGCCAGAAAACGATTTTAAGCCCTCCGATGTGCAGTGGGGTGAGGCAGAAAACAACTTTAAGCCCTTGGACGTGCATAGGGGTGAAGCAGAAAACAGTTATGAGCAGTCTGATGTGCAGTGGGGCGATGCAGAAAACAACTTTAAGCCCTCGGATGTGCAGTGAGGTGAGGCTGAAAACAATTTTAAGCCCTCTGATGCGCCGTGGGATGACTTGTAAAATAATTTCCGGCCATCTTGAGTTTGCTTAGAAGTTACATTTATAAAGATGGTTTAAAATGACTAGATTTTCCCGAATTTTACACTTGGCAACTTGGATGTTTGAAGCAAGTTATTGTATAGACTTTACCGTGTTGAAATCACTCGTTTGATTTACTCTGTTATGGAATTCTAGCAATGTTTTCGGTGAGGCCATTTCATAGAGACTAGAATATGCTGCTGCCTATTGATGAATCATAGCCTCGGAAGTGTAAAACGTAAACAAGGAATACTGTGATTACAGGGAACGTTTCGAAGCACATGAAATTCTTGCAGGTGTGGTTGAATTCCTTGGTCGAGTGGCTGATTCATTAGAAGTGCCAATGGATATTGAGGGTGTTAATTACTAGCCAAATTTGATATTGATTTTGTTTCAAGACTCCATTCAAGTACATGAAATAAGTGACTATATATTTGTAACAAAGTTTAAATTAAATTAATGACTAACTAGAAATAAAATGAAGTTCAATAATTAACATGAAATTTTACTAAATTACTAATCGATCTATTTAAGACAGACGACTAAGTTCTGGACTACAATATGAAATCTTTTCTGTAACTTCATCTAAATCCAATTCGAGGTTTTAAGCTATTCCTTTTATTTGTGCAAATCATAAAGTTACAACTTTCCCTTTTGCTTTCGTTTTTCATGAACTGCATAATAACACTAAGGATCCGTTTAATTGTAAATGTGGAAAATGGGTGGAAAGAAAATGAATTTCAGATAATTGAATTGCCTAGAAATTGTTTTACTGAGAATTATAATTAATTGTGTTTGATTGGTATAATTTTCTACTTGAAAAATGTTAAAAGTTTGGTATCCGTTTGACTTCATTTTTCATGAAAATTGTCCATTAAAGTGATAATTTTTTCTACCGTTGAGTCTAGAATTTGTTCCAATTGCTAAAAAAAAAAAAAAAGAAAAAAAAAACTGAATTTTTTTTTACCATACTTACTAAGTTCTGGACTACAATATGAAATCTTTTCTGTAACTTCATCTAAATCCAATTCGAGGTTTTAAGCTATTCCTTTTATTTGTGCAAATCATAAAGTTACAACTTTCCCTTTTGCTTTCGTTTTTCATGGACTGCGTAATAACACTAAGGATCCGTTTGATTGTAAATGTGAAAAATGGATGGAAAGAAAATGAATTTCAGATAATTGAATTGCCTAGAAATTGTTTTACTGAGAATTATAATTAATTGTGTTTGATTGGTATAATTTTCCACCTGAAAAATGTTAAAAGTTTGGTATCCGTTTGACTTCATTTTTCATGAAAATTGTCCATTAAAGTGATAATTTTTTCTACCATTGAGTCTAGAATTTGTTCCAATTGCCAAAAAAAAAAAAAACTTATTATACCGAATATCATTTAAAAAAAAAAAGAAAAAAAAAACTGAATTTTTTTTTACCATACTGAACATCATTCGTTTTGCTTTGTTTTACATGAAAATCGTCAATAAAAGTGATAAATTTTTTTACTATTATATCTAGATTTTTTTTCAATTGCAAAAAAAAAAAAAAAAGAGCTGGAAAATGAAAAACCAACCAAACCAAAGGAAAACATATTCATTTCACGCATGGAAAATGGGCGCGTGAGTGGGTAGGAGTGAAAACCAATTCTAGGGAAAAAAACAACCTATCAAACACAACAAAAATGTGGAATTAGAAAACTTTTTCCATTTTCTAGGGAAAAAGCAACCTATCAAACACAACCTAATTTCCTAAAAAATATTCTCATTTTATTAAAACCTCATGAAATGTAAATATAACAACTCTAGCATGATTTTAAACATTCAAGAAGATTGCTACATTGCAGATTTTTACCAGAATTGTTTGGCTTGGAATGGCGTCGACATGGGACATAAAACTGCAACATGATCATAACTACGAGATCTTAAATGTGCTTAAAAGTTACTTTTATAAAGAATAAGTTAACAATCACTTTCTAGAAAGGAAGTTTTGTTAATTTAAAAGTTACTTAAAAAGTAAAAGAAGCAAAACTGTGAGCCAAAGTATTGCATGACCTGTTATGCTATTGAGAGGAGGCAGGGCAGCTGATTCTGATTCATGCAATTGGAAAAGAAAATCAAAATTGTTGATTAGTATACATACTTCAAAGTATATACATAAAGAATTCAACTTAGGATTTAGGGTTAATAAACGAGAAGGGACTGATTGTATAACAAATTAAGTAGAATATTGGAGAAATTACAGTCAGTATTGGACTTTAAATAATGGAGAACGTTCAACTGAAAAGTGTTATACACAAAAATAACTTGACATCGTGAGATCTCGTGGACGTCGGAAGATTAATACCAAAATCAACAAGTTAATCAAAGCTATAAGAAGGTTGAGCTTGAGAGGCTGAGTTCTAGCCAAGAAAAGGTTGACCCAAAGCCACAATCAAGCTTCAAAGGCCAAAGTTTATGCCATGCAGAGCGAGTGAGAGTTCTTATGATACAGAATCAGTTGCAGCTAGCAAATGATAGTTAATACACTTATGCTGACATGGAAGATTAGCTAGGACCAGCTAAGATACAGTTAGATGTAGTTAGAAACTGTTAGGCTGTTGATACGGGTGTTGTGTAGCCTATAAATAATACTTGAAGAAGAAATCTGCAATTCATTCAATAAAATCAGAATTCTTCTCTTTCCATCTTCTCTGGTTTTCTTCTTTGTTCTTTTCCTCTTTATTTTTATGGCATTTAATTCCAGTTTCTTGATGAAACTATGATCCTTAATTCAGGAATTTCACATGGTATTATAGCTGATGTTCTTTCTCTGATTCATCATCTTCTCCCCTACATTCCTGAATTAATTCGAATCATGGCAAGCTCTCTTTTCAGCCCTGCTGATGATCCAACTAGTCACTATTTTCTACATCTTAGTGACAATCCAGGTGCTGTAATCGTCTTTGAAATCTTCAATGGTGATAATTACACTTCTTGGAGCTGCTCAATCTCTATGGCACTAAGTGTGAAGAACAAAACAGCCTTCATTGATGGTTCCTTATTAGCCCCAAATCCATCCTCTGGTATTTTATACAACTGCTGGGTTCGTGCTAATAACCTAGTGTTATCTTGGTTATTGAATTCAATCAGCAAAGAGATTCACCAAAGTTTGTTGTATATTTCATTTGCACAAGAAGTCTAGAATGAGCTCAAAACTAGATACATACGCAGTGATGGTCCTAGAGTATATCACTTGGAGAAGTCTCTCAGCTCCATTTCTCAAGGCTCACAGACCCTCACAATGTATTACAATTCATTCAATGCCACTTGGGATGAATATATCAGCTACCGCCCCTGCCTAAATGCAATTGTGGGAAACTTTCAAGCTGTACTTGTAACATACTACGCAACATATCCAAAACTCAGCAGTCAGATGCTGTCAAGAAGTTCCTCATTGGCCTCAATGAATCTTACTTTGCACTGAGAAGTCAATTGCTTTATACTTCTCCACTCCCATCATTGGCTTGAGTATATTCTTTGCTTCTTCAAGAAGAAATCTAAAGAGACTTGCAGAATCATTCACTTCCAGAATCTGTTGCAATGGCAGCAAGACAGCCTCCTAGAGCACTCAACAAACCTCTTCCTCCTCCTTGGAAGGACAAGAAGAAGCCCAAATGTACTCACTGTGGCTACCTCAATCACACTGCTGATAAATGCTTTCAGCTCATAGGTTATCCTCCTGGTTGTAAAGGTCCTAGAGCCCCACGAACACTAGTTGATATCCCTACTGCTCATGCTATGACTTTAGACCTACCTACCAATAATGAGAGACCAAATATTTCATTTAATCAAGATCTTTATCAACAATTCTTAACTTTTGCTAAAACTCAGCAGATATCTCCTTCTCAATCATCTAATCTATGCTATTTACAGCAGCTACCATCACCACATGTATTTCATTTTGTAATTCAGCTTCTTCTAAACCTAAGACCATCTATTGGATAATTGACACTGGTGTAACAGATCATATGATCTGCTCACCAACTTTCTTCACTTCCATTAGTTCAACAACCATCACTAATGTTCACTTACCAAATGGCACTTCTATTCCGGTCAGCTACATTGGTAAGGTTCAAATTTCTGACAGCTTGGTTCTTGAAAATGTTCTGTGTGTACCTTGATTTTCATTTAGCCCCTGTTTGACACCCATTTTTGACAAAAAATAAATTCTGGAATAGTGATTGATGGAAGAATGTGTGGTTAAAAAACAATGAGAATTTTTGGGTTTATGTGTAGTATTATTTTATTGATAGAATGTGTGGTTGAAATGAAGAAAGAGGAAAAAAAATGAGAATGAGAATGAGAAAAAATGGGTGTCAAACAGGGGCTTAATCTGATATCAGTTTCAAAACTTACAAAATCTGTTAATCTCTATGTATTGTTTTTTGCCTCCGATGGGATTGTACATGATCTGACCAACATGAAGATGATTAATTTTGCGAAAGAAAAGGAAAGTCTGTATCACCTCCTGACTACTCATGATCAACCAGCATTTCAACCTCTAACCAACAACTCCACAACATATGTTTCTCAACACTCCAGTTACAACCTTTGGCACTACAGACTTGACCACATATCCAATACTCGAATGCTCAAAATCCTACATATTGCTTCTCAGATTCCTTGTAACAATTCACATATATGTGTTATTTGTACAATAGTAAAACAAAAGAAGCTACCATTTCCTGTCAGTACATCAATATCAAATAAAATATTTAATTTAGTCCATTGCGATATATGAGGTCTATTCAGTGTACCTTCTTTTATTGGCTACATATTTTTTCTTACTTTAGTTGATGATTATTCTAGATGCACTTGGGTTTTCATAATGCAATCCAAATCTGAAACTCGTGGGCATATTAAAAGTTTCTATCAAATGGTCCATACTCACTTC